TTCTCTTTATACCGATAATTGATATCTCACCGAAATGAAGACATAATCGCAGATTACATCGTAACTAGCTTCAAATTTTAATCGAATACATTCTCTCTGTCATAGTTGGATAATTCATCGTGAATCATATTTTGTATTTATATTTATCTGATGTACAAAAATGCGAGACAAATAAAACTTGCATATGCATATACGCATGCATATTATATATTGATATTCTATACACGGGATGATAACAGTGCACCGGATAACAGACATTTATGTGCATTACGTATATTTTATAATTCTATAGAGGGAAAAGCTCAAAACTTTTATGTCACGTGTCAAAGCGAATGTGTAAATACCGATATTTTATTTTTGTCAACAACCGTTATTTATTATTTTGAAAAATACATTTATTATTTTAATAATACATTCTGAGTAATGCGTACTGATATCAACGCATCCCATTCAAAATTCACGGGATCACGGAATAAAAAATCTCTCGTAACGTTTTCATGCGATCGAAAGAGGAAAACTGCTCCGGGAAACGATTGTAGGTAATTGGTCGGTTGCTCTTCGATTAAAGCGCCTCTGGCAAACTGCTATAAGTGCCGCGCTGGCAGGCGAGTTCATTAGCATGCTTCCCGCCTGTTGTCTACATCGTCTAATGTCGGAACTGACGTCGACGTCGAGAGGCTGACCCCGACGTCGCGTCGGTCCACAACTTGGATTCCTGTCACTTAAACACTCGATAGCGCGGTAGAGACTCCGCGTCACGTAATCATCTGCCTCATTAAGCGAACACCCGATCTTTGCTAATGCAATCTGTAACAACAGTGTCGCGTCGAGATTTCTGGAAGACGAGAACCGTTAATTAAGACATTTGCCGATCGTTTTATACGAGGTCTTCCACGAATCCCTTAAACGCGATGACGGCATTATCCGTTTTAGATTTAGTCGTAATGATGAAGGCTCGAGAAAAGTAAAGTGGTAAAAGTTCCAAGTGACGTGCTGGGGGCCATGTGGCGACCATTAAACCGAGGCTACGCCAAAAGAATTCGTCGAAAGCGCGTGACTAAACACTATCAAGCGGTGGCGATAGTATGGAGATTGAACAAGTTTACGTGACGCATAATGCTCATTTATAGAGATATTTTATTCCGATTTTTCAATCTTTCGAAGAAAAGATCACGATCATCGTTCGTAATGTTCCCCAACTAAAATAAGAGTTCTTTTAACTTTCGCATCACGTATCCCTCGCTAGTGATTCATTTGTGAAGGATTCTTTCCTGGGAAGCACACGACTCACTCTCTTTCTTTCTCGTATTAGATGACCGGGGATAGATTGGATGGGTAGAGTGATGGGGAAAAAGCTCGTAATTAGGCGCCTACGGGGAAATGAATTCTTTCCGACGAAACGATTAATTCGATCGAACGCAAAGCGAGAGAGGGAGAGACTTTAGTCATTTGTCGCGAGGGAACGAGAAAGTTTCTCTATGTATGTATGTTATGTACGTGATTCTGAGTTTTCAAAGCCTTCACTGAAAAAAATATTTGTGTGAAATCACATGATTATGCTGGGTTTCTTTTTCGACCCAGCATAATTGTGCAACATTGCTACCCGCATATAGAAGATTACATGTAATGTCATATAAAATATATTCTTATATGTATTTTCAAGATTAAAAATATTCCACTGAACATGAAATTACATGTAGGAAATGCTAGTAATGTATAAATGCTATGAAAGGTTATATATAAAATGGATAAATGCTTATAAAATAAAGTTTTAATAATGTAAGAAAACTAAATTTAAAGTTACAAGTAATTTTTGAATAAAAATTGTAATTTTTTTCCTATATTTTTACATTAATATGTATTTTCATTTTAAAAAATATGGAAAAAAATTACAATGATGATTAAGTAATTTCTCCAGTTTTTAAAAAATAATTTCCATGTAAAAACACATTAATTTTTTTCAATGTTTGATATTATATCGATGCATTATTTAAGTAGAACGTGAATTATTATTCGTACAATGTGAGATACGAACGCGAATTTGTACTCATGTCGCATGAATTGTTACGTAACAAGAATGGTTTGACGTTCTTGCTCGCAACGTGTTTCGCGAATATTCGCAAATTTGAGGTACCTATTCCGTTCTGTCCCTTTCACTTCTATCCTATACAAGAATCTTCTCATATCGGATTTAATAAAGCGATATGATTTCTCGATATTTTCGCACTCTTCTTCTTCTTCCTTTTCACTCGCTTTCAAATCCCCGTCTTTTACATCTTACGGCGTTTTGAGCCCAGAACCACCAGACGAATCGAAGAGTTCTTCGGCGGCAGATCTCGAAAATCGACCTGTATTTATTCAGCAGCCGGCCGCGCGCATCGTTCGAAGATAAGATTCTTTTCTCCATCCAGTAGAGAGATCGGGTAAATCTCAGCCATGCGATCTCCTTTTGTAAAATCTATTTTATCGCAAAATGAGAGAGAAGGCGAGAGAGAAAGAGATAAAAATTCGCGCCCCAGGCACTTCGTTTGACGCGTTCGTATACGGTAACAGCTGGGAGCGCGACGCCGCTATTCGATAAATCATCTTTTTCAAAGCTCCATCTTTTAATCCTAGCGCGATACGCAATCCGCCCGGGAAATAACGCTTCGTTATTCTACGTGCATCTTCTCCACAGTTGGCAGAACGTTAAACGTCGCGCCGTCGGCTACACAGCTGACTGGGGGAAGCTCATTATCCGTGCAAATAGAGAAAGATAAGAGCGCGAATTCGAGATGGAGGAAAACGCGCGTTCCTCATCTCTCTCTCTCTCTCTGTATCTTAATTTCCTACACTCGATCAGCGCACACGAGACGCGATAAACGCGAAAAACGCGTATTAAAACCACGATTTCGTTCAACATGCGGTTGCTTTCTCGCGTTATAAATGCTATATCCTCTGTGAAAGGGGAAGCGTAATCTCCGAACGATTCCCTCGACTGTTGGACGCTGCTCAACGTCGCTCAACGATGATTATTTTCGCTCGCGTTGCTTCCTACAGAGAGAAGGAGCCGCTATACATTTCACGGTGCCGTGATTCGGAGCACCGCTATCAAATCAAGGGAGAGCTGGTATCAGTTTGCCTCCACCTCCAACACGGACGCAAAATCCGACCGGCCGTAAAAATAAATCCGGGACTCATAATCTGTTTGAGGGGAGAGCGCTTTTCTCGCGGAAGAAGAGCCGGGACCACCGCGATGATATCGTACGGTAGTTTGCCCTCCGTCCACAGAAGTTTCGCTGCATTCACGACCTGCCTTTTACTCGATTTTTCTAAAAGACCCTTGATGGCGAACGTTCGTTAAAATCAAACTAAAAAATTATCCGATTGCTTTTTCTAATCAATCTAATTTTTTTCTGTGCGTATGTATGACATATTTAAAATTATTCTCGCAATATTACGAGGGATAATGTGGCGTAAAATCGAGGTAAAAATTGTATAAGCTTACGCGCAAATGATATCCTCGCGTCGACTGGTGAAACTCGATGAAATTCACACCGAAATGAGACTTTATTCGAAATCGTCCGCGTATTTTGCTCTTTCAGCTTCTCGAATCGCCACAATTCGTACACACGCGCAAACGAGGTCTGGTTACGCTCCTTCTCTCTCGGGAAGTTTTACACCGTTCCACGCGAAATGGAAACGTTACATCGTCGCCGTTTCTGCTGCCAGTTATCAGTCCGCTCTTTTTTTTCCACCGCATTTCCCGTCTCGCTCTTATCCTCATTTCTTCAGGCTTTGTAGTTTCTCTTTATATCTTTGCGCGCGCGTAGAAAAAAAATCCAGTTCATTTTCCTGATAACGGTGCCAAAAGAGACAATCGTCGGCGCGAATGAGCGAGAGCACTTCTATCTATCTCTATGCATCTATGATGGATGATGGAAATATTAACGAGATTCCACGGAGCAGAGCTAGCTGTCAGAACAACAATGCACTGATAAATTCATCAATCAGATCATCTATTTACATACATATATTACGTATGTATATATAAGTTTAAGAGATATGTATAAATAAATGAGAATAATATAGCGCACAATTTAATGTTTAGGAAAAATCATTAATCTTATGTAAAGTGTAAATACGATATATTTCTTTTACAATAAAAATTCCTTATTTTTGTTCTTTAGAAATCAAATCACTATTCACGCTATTATTTCTGAATTTGTCGAGAGTTCGGCTATCAAAAATTGCTTACTTTCTCTCCAATATCTCCAACAACGCTTGATAATAAAATTCCCCAATTGTAGTACATCGTGTGTGCGGCAAATTATAAAATAATCGAAATATCTTTTGCATAAATCGCGATTATACGTACCGCAATGTATATAACGTAACGAGTAGTAGCATGTAGGTATAAACTATCAATTATTTTGGCTTAGCGAATAACAACTGAAGCGTCGAGCCCTTCATCCCTAAATTGATACACCGGGGACCCTGTTAAAGTCCGTCGGTCTATCGATTGGCATGCCGTTGTACGCGTTGAAAAAAAAAAGCGCAAGCATGATTAATGCTCAAATACCAGCGGGATAACTCGCTCTCGTAATAACCAGCGCGAAAAATAGGCCAGCACCAGAAGGGGTCGACGATGTTCCCGTAATTATCGTTCACTTCTTCGCGGTTCACCGCAATACATATATGTTTTTCCCGGACAAACTTGGAGACAAGGTTGCTCGATTATTTGATCTGCATTAACAAACGGGGCTGCGTCGGCAGGGGACACAGGGTGATTCGTACACGTGTTACACATTGCGCACGCACACGTCCGTGCGGTGTGGCGTGTACACCGTCACCCGTGTGCCCGCCAGATGTCCGAGAGGCGGGATGCTGCGTCGCGGCGTTCTCCGCTTTCTCCCACGCAGTGCGGTCGCGGCGCGGGCGAACGAGAAGAGAGAGAGAGAGAGAGAGAGTGAGAGGAGGAACCCGCTGAATGTGGAGAACCGTTCAGTCGCAGCCACGAAGCGGCGCCGTGCGCGACGACGACGACGACGACGACGAGAACGACGGGGACATTCGCGCGCGTTACATTACTTCTCGTCGTCGATCCGTCGTCTCGTTTCCGGAAGGATCGAAATTTAATTTCGAAACGAACCGTCAGTTTCAGTGTGCGGTGCGTGCTCCGAAACGGATGCTACTACGAATACTCGTCACGGGCACGCAGAGCAGCGTGGGTGGTGAACCGCGGTGTGGTGGTTCGAGTCTATAATTAACCGCGGAGAACGCGGCTGGCAGCGGAACGAGGTATCGGATCTGCAAGAAATTAAGCCGCACGAGCGGCTCTCGATGAAAACATCTCGCGAATAAATCAGCGACGTGACGGCGAAGTGAGAAAAAATGTGAAGGATGTGTGCTTACGAGGAATTATTCGGGATTTATCGTTCCCGGATCGGATCGATGTGAATAATAAGGGGCAAACCTCTTTAGAAAATATATATATATATATACATCGGGAGAGAACATTATTAACGAACAACAACGTTGGCAAGTCTTCGCGGAATAATGAACTTCTCTAATCTTGTTGGCAGTATTATGATGTCAAAACGGAGCAGATCGGTCGCGAAACTTCATGATTGTCTGGAAGGATAACTTTCTTATTAGTTCTGTGCGCGCACACGTAAATATAGTAGTAACTCGAGGGATCTCGCCCTCGTTTCGTCGTCGTTCGATATCAATTTTCGTGGCGCGAGGCGAGTATTAACGGAACGGGAATCGAAATTAACCGCGTGACTCATTCGGGAAGAAGCGACACTCTCTCGGTCACGTTTTACGAGCGGGGATAATCTCGTCAAGGCGGAATTAACCACGGCGAGCCCAAGGTTTTCACCGGTGGAAAACGACCGGGAGAGCAGGGACCGATGATTAAAGCATTCGTGCTTGAAAAGAGAACGCGACGTGTCCTGATCCGCGATTAGAAGATCGATCGATCGAAAGCTTCTCCCTCCCTTTACTCGTCAAACGAGCCGCGACAAGACCTCGTCGATGTCCTAATAAATGTCACTTGCACTGATCGATCGGTGCCTTTTGCCAGTCGTGACATAAAGAGTGGGGGAACGATTTAAAAAGCGACAGAGACGACGGGTCAACGTTGTCGAAAACCGGATGTCGATGACGGATCGCGATCGGACGAAGGGACCAAGCACGTAATCGGGATCCTCGGCGCCACTTTCGAGGACCTTGATCATTATTTATCCACGAATGGAGGATGAACAGAGGTGCGTGAGGGAGAGTGGCGGACGCTTTTAAACCGATGAGATGACAGTGTTGTGCGTTCTGTGGGCTACTCTGTCCACCGTGGCCTCGATTCTGGCGTGCTCCGGTTTTTACTTGCCTTATTGGATTCAGGTAAGCACGATCGAGTTCTTTTCTTAATTATGTTACGCCACGGAAAAAAGAACGAAATTATCTCTGGAGCGTTCCTTAACTTTTCCAGCGTCATTAGAGCAATTTTTCGAAGATTGGAGTTAGATATAATCTCTCGAAGGAATTTAAAAAAGTTACGAAGAGGAGCCGTAGATAATTAATGAAATGCAAAATTTTCCGCGCTCTTACCTCCTCGTTTTCCTTTTTCTTTCTCACGTTAGATATTAAACTATAAATATATATATTAGCGCTATAAATATATGTTCCTCTTATAATTAAATCAATATCTCTCTATTTCATCGCGCGACGCTCCGATGTTTGATGGTCATTAACGCGCGATATTAATGGAGCGTTAAAGCAACATATCGATAAATATGATAGCGATATATACTGTCGAATCAAATCACACGATATAGAATAGCATTATTACCGGTCATAACCGAGATAGTTTTCTCCCTCTCTCGAATATCGACGATTCGCCGCTACGCGTGCAATTTCCACATGATTGGCGCACAGCTACAAAACAAGCGATAACTTTTAGCCGATAACTGGGCAACTTCTAAAATTATACTTATCGAGTGCGTGGAAAAACTTTGCCGCTGCGACACTTCCTCGTTCCATCGTCGCGCGACTGTACGACGTCGTTCTCGGGTTCGTGCAACTTCGTGCCGAAGGATCATTCCGGATTTTCTACGATCATAGTTCGCGCATCTTCAAGACTTTTATTCGTGTAACATACACGCTGCTACACGCTGCCAACGACTCGTGCGAAGGAAAGTCGTTTTCCTCCCCGGGGAGTCGTCGAGGGGTTTCGTATCGACGATTTTGATGACTCCGACAATTTCTTCGGCACGATCGTAAAGCAATTTAACAGGCATCGCGATAAAATAAAATCGCGGTGAAATTTGCGTGCTCGGCCACATAAAACATCGATATCGAGATTCTCCGCGAGAGATAGAATCTATGGTATGATGCGCGCGATTGCAATAAGATACGTTAAGTTTATCGAACGATTTTATCTCGATGTAATATCCATCCACGTGAAAGTTCTAATTTACGAGAAAAGATTACGAGTTTTTATATGTATTTTTTATTTCGATCTGTGTACATTTTGTACATTCGAGTATTCAACCGACGGACCATTTATCACTCCCGGAGCATTCATCGGGAAATCGAATGGCTAAAACTCGCAAACTTGAATTTCAAGACTCGCCGAGATCGAGTTTCGTGCAAAATTCGTGGAGAACGACTTGCTACACATCCCACAATATCCATTAATTCAATTCCTACCGCGTAATTAAGTCTAATCCGATTATATACGTGTATTGATGTATTTCAATAAATTAGTTAAAAACCAGAGGCAAATGCGTAACTTCCATTAGAATTCGGATTAACGGATTTTGCTTTAAAGCGTCGCTGCACCTGAGCTTTAATGTTAAGACTGGCAATGTTATCCGAGAGGATATAACATTACTTTGCACGTACTATTTACATTTCATTTTCACATCGTTTCTCGTTAGTGTGCGCGAGATGTAAAATGAGATACCAGCGTCTGGGCGACAAAGAAGCGAAACATGGGGAAAGCGTAGTGATAAAAGAGCAACTCGGGGGGAAAAATAAGAAAAGCAGAAAAGCTAGAGAGAAATAAGAGAAAGAGGACGGCAAAGAAAACGTGAGAAATCGAACAAGCTCGAGTCGTCTGACAAGATGGATCGTGGAACGGCGATAGTAATCGGATTCTTCGTTCTAAACGGCGAACGAAACAACGAAACTGAAACATTAATTCTACGCGTCTTAATACGGATCTTTGTTCCCTGTTGTAACTTAACCGTAACAAAAAAAAAGTCCAGAAACGAAGAAGAATTATGATGAAAGATATGCAAGAAGTATTTCTTACAGCGCCAGCAAAAACGATAAAAAAGTCTCGAAAACATTCTTTATTAACGTCAAAAATTAAACAGTGCAATGTCGATCAAGCATGCAAAAGTAGGATTTAAAAAAATGTATTTTTGTACAAAATGATCACTGTGACGATAGATAAATTATTTTATGGTATAGTGTACCATAATTCAGATAATTGAATGAATTTCGCGACGTAACTGTGTGGCAAGCGTTGTCAACAAGTGTAACAACGTTCTGGCCGTGATGCGAGGCAAAATTTCGGTCCTTGAAACTTACCGAGACGTTCGTTACGCGTACAAGATTCTTGAACGAGACAAGAGAACGCTCGGGGCACCGGCAACTTGGTCGGGAGGGAAGTTGATGGGACGAATACCATTGGTAGGGCAACTTTGTACATCGCGCGACTACTTGCCTTTAGCTCGATCCTACCTTGGCCGATGTTGGTGCAGATACAAAATACAGTTTACAAACGAAGATGAAACAAACTCTCAAGAACGAACAAAATTGTTCATATTCTTCGCATCACATGATAAACGAAGCGCTCTTGAAAAATAAAGTTTTATCTACCAATTATAGGATGTACGACCCGTTTCATTAGATCAATCTATTTTGCCTCTTAGGTAGTTCATTTGTACATATTTTTTATATTATATTATATTAATGTTATATATACTCTATTTCTTTTTAAGAATTTGTTTATACTGTTTAAAATTGATAATATAGTAGTTTGTCTTATATATAGTGAGTTACTGAAAAGTTTAAACTTACAAACAGAGCTGACAAATAAGTTATCGAAAGCATTTAATTAGTGGCAGTTCTCTTTAAAATCAATTTTATTTATTTATTTATTTTTTTTTGCGAAATTTGTATTGCTAACATTTATTATCTCTCTACATTGTTAATTTTATAAAAAAATACACAAATTTTCTTCACATTTTATAAATTGCAGATCAAGCATTTGTAAATAAATGTTTTATATCATCACAAAATAAATTTTTATTATATTAATTGTTTCTATAACATGACAATTTTCTATAATTATTTCTATAACATGACAATGTGGTTCATTTTTTATTACGTTGATAAATTGAATTCAATAAAAAAAGAACAGTGAAAAAATAATCGATACATTGCTTTTATAATGTTAATTGTTAAATATAGCTTTTTGACATTTTACATTTATTTATAGCTATGAAATATTAAAATATTTTAGAAAAGAGCTTGTTTGCAAAATCATGCAATTTTATTCGGGCACTTTTATTACGGTTTGTTAATGAAAATAAATGCGAAAAGAACGAGCTTTCTGAAAGAAAACGGCATTTGGTAAACGACAGCAAGCTTATTACGATCTCCTTCCTGCTTCTCGTCCTTTTCCGGCAGACGGTTGCGTTATATTTTTCCATATTAAGAGAAGCAATCAAAAGCATTCAAACAAGGCAGCGAGACATTTCCCGTTTCTTTGGCGCCGTTTGTAAAATTTGTTAGAAGAAGCAAAAATTTTTCTCAATACACACTGTAATACGGTTTCGCATATAAATAAGTCTTGCCCTAGATGTTATTGTACGTCCGATCGATGCAAAGATTTCCATATCAGAAATGAGCACAACGTTTAATAAAATTGGTACATCGGTTATCTTAAATTTATTCAAACTTTTTATTTCATCACTTTCTATTTTCTATTTCATATAAATAAATTCGCGATTCAAAAGATTGCGTTAAAATGAAATGTAAAATAAAGCTGCAAAGTATCTTGCAATATTTATTCTTTTTTTTTATTAATATTATATAATTTTAAGTACGCCTTCTTTAAGCTTACATGTGTTTAGCGAACTTTTTCGGCTTTATATCAGTTTATTATAGAATCTGGCGCTAAAACGCAGTAGCGTAATCGTTTCCGCGGTCTTGTGTATTTCAGGGACGACTACTGGGAAAGGCGGACGCGTACTTCAGTTCCTTTCGGCGTTGCAACTACCCGCGATTCAGGGCCCCCAACACCACGCCCGAGATAGTTTACGAGTGCGCGAGGTACTCCAGGTACGTATTTTCGTATTAATGTATTCCCGTGTCAAAGAGAGAACAACCAGGTGCAGGCTTCTCTACGACCGCAAGAATTCCTAAGGTGCGAGAAGAGCGAAATTCACGCGTCAAGCATTTCTTGTTTTTCGAGATTAGATTTTAAGAGCACTCTACTGCAAATTTCCTCGGTCGTTCTTTCAAAATATTAGATTGAATATGATTTTATTTATCCCGTGAGACTGTAATTATAGAGAAACTTTCGATAATCACACGTATACAATTTTGTATAAATTTGTATACAAGTTACATCAAATTATTTAAACCATACGGAATAAAGTTTAGAACAGATAAAAAATTCAAGATGTATAAAATAATGTAAGATGAATAAGTAAAATATATCTCAAAATAATATTAATATAATATGACGTATATTTGTTAGACATATATATTTTTTGATTAATAAATAATTAATATATATAGATATGTATAGTAGAATATAAATAATCTAATCGAGAACAAGAAAGAGAGTGATACAATCGAGAACTAAGGCTTTTGTCAGAAATGGACATTTATGTGTAGATAATTAAATGTGACATTGTAATTATTTTATATGCAAGAAGAGAAGAATTTGACACGTATTCCAGGCACGGAAATGAATATTTAAAGTTCGACAAAGTGCGCGTTAATTCGAGTTTGAGAAGCGAATTCGAATAATTTTATTTTAACCAAACTCAAGAGACTTGTATAATTTGTGTCGCGCGATCAGAATAATTCTTCGCTAATACAGACTGAGAAAATAGGGTGTAAAAACTTTCTTCGTGAGCAATCGTAAAAATCGCGGTTGACCCGAGGCATTAAAACTATACAAAGAGAGATAGTACCGTTATTAACAAAGAAAATCATAAAGGCGATAGGATAGAGAAACGACACGATTCTTTTCCTCTTTTTTTGCGTACGAAGCGAGAAATTATATGAAATATCACAAGTTCAGTCAAAATAATATAATTCTTTGATTGTTTTACTCAAATAAAAGAGACTCTCTCGCTTGTTAATATAGAAATTAATTCGGGACTCGTTTATTTTAACTTTTGAATGCGCGTATGAGAATAATTAAATTAAATGTCAGTCGTTTGATCATCTGTGTAAAATTTCAACAGCTATATCTCTTTTCCTCCTCTCTAAACGGAATAATAAACGATAATAACTCTAAATTATATATTATTTAATTAAAAATATATGCAGGTTACATGTAACTTGCATTAAGCATGGGTTAATACAAATTTTCCCATTATTAATAGTGATTGATAGCATTAATATCAATACTGCGAATTAATTAGAGGACATATATATATATATATATATATATAGATTTATTCCTGTTTCGTGTTCTATTTCTGTTATGGCACTGATAACGATAATAACGGGAATAACAATTATCACAATAACGACGTGTAAGCGCGCGAGATTAATAGGATTGGATTGCGTTTTGGGAACGCGATGTATTAAGGTATCCACGAGTCATGTGTTTTTCGAGTACCGTTCTATCCGATCGCGGCAGCTAAACGATGCATACCAAATCCCCGTATTCGCTTCGTAGGATCAGCGAAAGCGTTAAAAACAAGAATTGGACTATTCCGCGCATTCGTATTACCGCCCGTTATCGACTACCACCCGTTTGCCGAAGAGGATTTCGATAGACGCGGTCGAAAATACACGCGCGCGAGATTTTACGCGGTAAAAGTGACGCAACGACCCGCGATAAATTATGGAAATTTCGTCTCTTTTTTTTTATCGATTCGACGAGTCTCTGACACTATGTACTCGCGTAAAATCGACGAGATTGTATTGTATTTTGCACGCGTGAGAATTTTTACGTCGTATTTAATTTTTCTTATTGAATTGATGTTGATTCATGTTTCGCAACACTTGCGAGAATTAAAACTTTCACGTCATACGAATTATAATATATGGTGGTCGCTTCTCAACGATATTTATATTGATGACGTCGGTAGCGGACAATTGTATGGAAATTGTTCCGACAACCTACTTCATGACAGTACATTGTACAATGATGGAAAGCATAGAAAATAAAGTTAACGCGTGCACTACTATTGCGTATTTTTCAAAGCGCTCGTCAACGGAAACTTTATTATTTTTTTTTTGTTTATAATACACTTTTTTAAAAATTATTTTTAAAGGGAACATAATAAAAATTTTAACACGTTTATGTATAATATTAAAGCCTTTTGAAACATTACAAAGTAGACTAAGGATTGAAATTATAACATGTATGGCTTTTTGTTATTCTCATATCCATCTACAAAAAGTATCGCGATAAAAACGTATTTCTCTCTTTCTCTTTCTCTCGTCGAGAATACTGCGAGCGCTAACAATGAGTCCCCGCAAATTTAATTCCGAGCATACACTTTTGCACACGAGATCTCACTAGTGCGCTACGGAAAAACGATAAAAATGTATATCTCGCGTATGCGATCTCTGATTTAATTTTCGCAAATTCGTATGTAGGTCGGCTTGGTCGGCGTCAGTACCATCTGACGAAGCTCCTCGTTCTTCTTTCTTTTCATCGCGATGGCGATGTGCTCGACTCGGGCAAAGTTTTACTTACTCCGTCAGATTTCATCCGATGGAGAGTCAATTGAATATAACGAGACGGTGTGTGCTTCAACGATGTGTAAAAATTTCGCGTTTGATTTTTCCGTAAAATGCCGCTATAAGGTTTCGGCAATATGCCTGTTTTTAATTTTAATATAATAAATTCCTTCCTGAATTTAGTATTTTTCTTTTTTCATGGAAAAATGCGTCAATACTATGGTTTACGTGCGTTCGCAGTATTCATAATCTAGGATGCATCGAGATTATAATTGATGTGTGGTATCTGATTTTCAACAATGGTTAGGGCACAATAAGCGATTTCTCGATCGGTTAAGCGCATGTGATAATATAACTATGCATGCAAAATTCGCTTCTATAACTTCCCTCTTCTCGTCCCAATGTAATCGGTACAAGCACGATAAGTGCTAATAGTAAGCTCACTCTCTGCAAACTGGATTATTCAATAACTCCATCTGTTTTTACGATAGATCCGTTATCTCTCAGTGGATAGAATTCCAATAACTCGAAAATTCATGTAATCGCTCCATTCACAAATCTTACAAGAAAAATAATTTGCAACAAATTGTAAAAAGCTATAAAAACCATATTATTTCTACATTGTTGTATTTCTATTAACGAAATTGAAATATGCAATCAGAATTATTCAAAGTTTTACTGATACAAAGCATATAAATTGTAGAAATTAGCTAATTAAATTCATAATTAATAGAAAAATAATGTCGAAAATTTCTACGACTAACAGGGAATATTTATAACAATATATCGTTGGCTACGACTAATATTCCATTTTTTCGAAACAAAAGAGCGAACGATACGATATTTTACGTCAGAATGCGCGCCGCGAAAAAAATATTGCATTTGGTCGTGTTTAACGGGTCAAAACTTCGAAAGCTAAAAACAGATAATACGATATTTTACGCCACGATATCTCCCATGAAAAATATTTGCGTAGAATGAAAAATATTCTGCATAGTTACGTGTATTTTTTCGACGTCGATAATTTCACTCTGATTCTTCAATATCCAATTTATATTTTTCAAATTACTATAATAGTAATACGATATTATATTGCATCTCCCAATTGTTTGGCATAGATAGTTTATCGTGTTTTATATCAATAAAAAAGCCTTGTATTTCTGAAATATCTCTCACATTTAAAATCTCTCATATTTAAGTCGAATCTCTGACAGAAAAATTTTGACTGAAAAATTGTTTTAACGTACCAATTCACGGAATAAAATGATTAAATTATTGATTATCACATTTACTCAAAATTCTGCGAGCCAATAATATAATTTGACTGAACTTTGTTTAATTTCGTCATGAAAATTATACTCATTACCTACATCAAAATACAATATAATTTTACATTTTAGTTAGTTCTCGTAATATTATTATATCGGGATATAATTAGAATAAAATATATTTGCTTTTTCGTTTTGCTAGAATCCACGCTAATTTTGTCGTATATAAGCCGTACACGTTATATTAATTAATGTAGAACAACTACGAATACGTAAATAATACAATGAGTAAAGCTTATTTCAGTTACCGATAAATATGCCGATTAGAGCTTTATTCAAATTGTTCCATTATATTAATAAAACATTAATTTCACGCAAGTAGCTTTTATCCGATTTGACGTTTTCTCTTTCCTTTTAATTGTAATTTAGTGTTACGCGGTATAATTTTGGACGTAACAAATATTTACGAATCTTACGATTAAGCTCATGAATATTTTTTGTGTCGAATAAAATTAAATTAATAAAAATGTTTGAAATATAACAAATATGAATATTTAACGGCGATTGATCTCAGAAATTTGTTATCATGAGTGATGTTATGTTACAGCTTTTGGGACATACCGAGTGCCTGGTGGCAGGCGAGTACAGTAACGATGGGAATCGGCGTCGCGATCGCAGTGATCGGCGCTTTGACACTTTTAGCAGCGGCGTCATCATTCCTCCCACACATTCTGAAAACGCCGAAGCACACGAGAATTCTTGGTTCCTTGCAGCTGCTCGCTGGTGAGTGTCATATACGCTTTTTGACACTTTGTAATTAAATGTAGTAATTTAATTTGGAATTAATTTTTATTTAATTACATCTCAATGTGCCGTAAATATCACTTAAAAGAGAAAACTATTATCGAATGGTGCAAAATCCGTAATTTAAGCTCTGTTTGAATCTTGAGCACAAAAATAAAGATAATGCACTTTTGAAAATGACAATCCGTCTGGTCACATCAAATTTAATGCTAGGTACAACGGGACCGATGAGAATTTCACATCTCGCGACGAAATAATGAACTGTCCCCGAATAAAATAGATATCATGGTAACGTCATCCTTCTTCCAGCGCATTGACGTATTCCATTTACGCGCTTCAAGTTAGTTCGTTGTTCTCGATTTGCTTCTACCCGCCGCGTTCGAGGGTCGCTTTCGAAAAATGACAGAATCGCCCGCAGGCTCTGTACGACATGATCGATGCGGGATGACGTTGGGGATCCCAGTAATACTGATTTCTCAGGAGAAAAACGCGTGACATAATGTTGAAATCGCAAAATTCGCCATTATTTCTTCCTTCTAGAATATTTCTATTTTGCAAGTAAACGCGCCGCGCAATTTTTATATTTATTTCATATTTTTTATATCATTAATGTATTAATAATACCGTCGAGAACACTATAAAGAATATTAGGTACCCTAATAGCACGACATATCCGAAGGATGTTCAGAGGATATCCAGAAGACATTCGAACATTCTCAGAATGTTCTCTGAACGTCTTCGGGATATGTGTGCTGTTAGGGATATAAACGGGAAAATGAATAAATAAAATCTACCGCCAGACTTTTTTCCATAGCAGATTAAATTCTCGATCTCGTATAGTCTATAATTCGTTAACTATTTCGATCTGTATGTTACAGCAACGATGATATGCGGCGGTTTGGTGATGTATCCGATCGGCTGGGATAATCGGGAGGTACGCGAATCCTGCGGAAAGGGGGCCAATGTTTATAATCTCGGTGAGTATTCTCTCCGAGTTCGTATTCGCTATACACAGCGATACGCGGCGAACAGCCGGAGAATGGCAGCCCGGAACTTAATTCCGGCGGAATGCGGCGCGAGTTATCGATCTAATTCGATAACTAATTAACGCTCGACGAACTCGCGCGCGAATGGGGAGAGTTGCGCTTTACTTGCTCGTTTCCTAGTTTAACGACGTCTTCAACGAGAAATTGCCGTTCCGATGTGCCGCAGCAGAAATCCGCGGACGTGTGTCTGTACGTGATTACTCTTAAGACGTTACACACTCTACTACGACGAACGACGACGAACGACGACGACAACGACGACGACTAGCAACATCGGCGGTGGAAGTTTCCGCATTTTCGCAGGCGAATTCCCGAAGCGTTTTACGGAGCACTCAACGACCTTACCGCCATTCCGAGACTTTACGTAAACCGGTCGAGACTTATGGCTCTTGTAACTCTGCAAGGCGCGCAATCCACGTCACGCCGGTCTCGAAACGCAATTCCTCTGATTTTCCCGTAATTTTCCAGCATGCTCGTAACGATCTGATTCGACATCGGCGATCCGGTGGTGATTTGCCTTTCAATACCCGGGGGATTGTTATTGATTTGCCGCGGATTTGCTGCCGTGACTGCGAATGCGTACGTTGTTGTATTCCGCAGGATCATCCGTGATACTAAATTTGCATTCGATAGATTTGCCACGTGATATAACTAGAAAATATTTGTTCTATATGTATATATATATATGTACACATACATTCGGCCGCGTCTCGAATTCGCGTATTAAAAAATTTTTTTTTTCTCTTGCAATTCAAAAACTATCGAAACTCCGATATTTTGTAAACGGAATTGCAAAAAGGTGATTATCTCTGGGGAAAAAAGCTATCGTTGTGAAATTAATTTTGAAAATTTCAGAACATTTTACGTGAGTAAGGTGGACATTTATTTTTTTACATCGACAAGATTTTGTAGAGCTATCTGACCGAGGGGATATAATCAATATGGTCCGTATATTCGACGCACAGGTGACAAGCGTCCCCAGGTGAATACTAGCGAAATAGATAGGTTGATGGGTCAAACCAAATGTCGAAGCGATGACGAGATCGTATATATTCCAATAGCACGTTCCGTCGGTCAAACGATATCTCCTGTGGGCTACATTCAACTTATTTGGTACACTTTGTGACAGAAATACCAACAAATCTCGTAACTCGAATTATTCAAAGATCGTTACATATAGCGAGTATATACATTTTCAGTCACAGTTAATTACATTCGTAATTGATATTTCTATTTTATAGTACTCTCTAGATTAAAAATGTAGATATTCTGTTTCTGCGTCAATACTGATATGGATTATTATGTGCATTTAAATCAATATTTATTTAAATCAAATCGCATCTTTCTTATCGCTATCGCGGAAACATTTATTTATAATTTATATAAATAATATATAAATATAAATCGCATCTTTCTTATCGCTATCGCGGAAACATTTATTTGTAATTTATATAAATAATATATAAATATAAATTTATATAAATTTATATAAACGCGAAAACAAGAGACAAGCTATTATCAGAAGAAAATATTGACAATCCAAAAGTATCATAATAATTTCTCTTTTCAATTCAGAGAGTTGTTCTAAAAAAAAAATAATTATTTTCCTAATTGCAATTTGTCTCAAAACAACTTTGACAAATAACCTTGTCCATTCAAGGCAATATATCTCGCGGAACGAATCCGTTCACGGCTCGGTTTATTAATCTACTCCGCGAACCGCTGATTAAGTCATTACGGCGCCGATCAGATTCAACCCCGGCATGACGATTAGGGGCGTCCGAGCTATTTCGCCGGGAGGGAAATTCCCGGTGGGGTGACGACGCCGCAGAACACTCTCGCCCCGAGTCGATGACAGACGGATGCCATCTGTTTCAGGGAAGTGCTCGGTGTCATGGTCGAGCCACTTGCTGGTCGGTTCGGTCGCTTTGCTGATGCTGTGCTTCGGCCTGAGCTTCTGCGCGGCCCGGCACAAGCCTACGAACTCGCACACGGATCCCCTGCGCATTTGACAATCGAGATACTCGCAGTCGATTCACGCCTACGCCTCGCCGAAGACGACCACCACGCTCTCCATCGTCACGGTCTGTTGATCGTCACGACCGCGCCTGTTGCGTGCGTGCGTGCGTAAGTATGCGATCGTCGTCGCCGCCGCCGTCGTCGTCTGTCGTCCATTCACGTCGCGGTGCGAAACGAGAAATACATACGTCACCGCGCGCATATAAACGCCTCGTATATTTCGCGAGAAATCTGTCATGCGCGAAACGTGCGTGTCACGGCGAACTAGCGACTGCAAGTTGCATGAGACTCGTATAGTATCTCATACGTATGTATTTTACGTATACCTGTATTTTTCCGATTCGGAGCGATGCAAATTTTTGCGCGATTTTACGTCGGTTTAAAGCATGGTTTAACGCTAACACACTGCCTGCGTGACTATAACTCCTTAACACGATCTCACAATCGGCGTGAAAAATCTATAAATGAGTGTCGCGTTCATAATTCGTTGATTGAATGTTTAAGCGGGTAGGTAGATACAAGTTGACAATTTTTTTAAAAATTCATTTTCCTGCGTACTTGAAATGTATCACATCTATCGAAGGAAGGAGAAAGTATACGATCTACAGCGGTCTAAACTTGACAAATAACTTCATAAGCGTGTTTCTCGAGAGAGAGAGAGAGAGAGAGAAATTTCTATTAAATTATAAAAAACTTTTCTTTACGAAGATGTTAAAGTTTGTAAAAAATTTCTGCTATTTCGATGTTTTTTTTTTTTTTAATATGACTAGATATTTTTCTGCGAAAAAATCTTAGAATTGCATCCGAAATCCATCTGGATCTCGGAAAGATTGATTAAACTTTTGACAGGTTAACGCATATCTACCCTCTCGAGGCAGATCCTTCACCTCTGTATATATATATAATAAATAGTATACGTGACCTGTATATGTACGTATGTATATACCGCGCTAAGAGTGAATCTTATAGTCCTGTTTCGCGGCAAAGACTGTTGGAGAGCTGCTACGGTATTTCCAATTTGGCGCCGTAGTAAGCCCCGGCTGGAAGCGACGAAGCAATTGGCAATTCGCCTTTCAGCACTTTCAATTCGCTCGTTGGACGTATATACACGGTGGCGCGAAAGGATACGGACCGAGGGAAATACGAACACGTACACACACACACATAGGTGCATGCACGTCTCTTTCGCGTCGGGAGCCCGCATTCAGATGCGTCGTAACGATCACGATGTCCAGATGGACTGCAGCACACTCCTTTTCGAAGCGCCGGGAGATCGCTATGTATAGGTATATCGATCGCACAGGCATGGAGAACGTTTCGACTCTCCAGAGATTCGCACGTTTCTCTTATTTATCCTCGTCTCGGATTCTCTCCTCAAGATGCTATTTCTTTCGAAAATAATGGTATTGGTTTAACGATGATTGTCAGTGTGTATCAGTGTTAGGCTTTTCTCTCTTGGAATTTATCCAAATCTAAGAGCCCAGATTTGTTGGAATAAGATGTATCGTATTTACTTACTTTTCGCAAAAAATCTTTTGACCTGATAATCTTATAAGATAAGAAAGAAATATTTTATATATGGAACATATTCTCACAGGGGGCTGCTCCATTAAACAAATAATTGTTGTTTGTATAAAATCGCACGCGTGCGAGAGAAAGTGTTGAGAAAATTGGGTTTAAGCTCCAGACGTGGAAAATTTAGCGGCTTGCGAAATCCGCGTAATTAAAAGATAAAGGGATCAGAAAAGATTGAAGTTCTAGGCTTCTATATAGCTGCGGGTGGTAGTTTATTTGTATCGTGACTTCCTATCTAAACCATTCGAATCTATTTGAACTTCGTCCTCTTTTCCAAACAAAAGAATCAAAAGATTGAGTTGATCAGTTAAGAAAAGAGAAGTATTTTCTCGTTTTGTATTTGCTCTGCCTCGTTTGAGTTTCTAACGATGATTTAATTACGAGTCGTGATACTTATAAATAATTCACGAGAACAATATTTTCCCAAAGAATTTTTTTTCGTCGCTCTCTTTTATCGAGAGAAAAAAAGAATTGTGCGATTGTTCGATCGGAATCTCACTGTACACGATGCGCATTCACGAATATTGAATCACCCTGTACGACTCTCAGGTAAAAAATAGCCCGCGGTATTTGTGCGCGAATATAAAAAAATGTAATATTCGGGATGCGTATATGTGTGACCAAGGGGTATATATAGGTGTGGCCTCGGTGAAATTCACAATTGCGGACGCGGTTGAATTTTACGTGTTGATGGAATGGCGCGCACAAACAATGGGCGCGCGTTATTCGGTGAAGGCATCGCTATTGGCCGGATAAAAATCCAAGCTGAACAAACAGATCGGAGCACGCTTCCGCTCGTATGAGATCTCTACGCACCGCTTACTTCTTGCATCGGGGATTAATCGCGGCTTTTTTTTCTACCGCACGCGCGCGCATATATGGTACATACACATACACGCGAAATAACATCCTCGTCGTGTGGTTACCTGTGTGATAAAAATTGTTTCGCAGTGAATAAAGGAATCCGTGGTGATATGGTTACCGGTTTCGATTCGCACTCTCTTTCGTTCCCTTTTTTTCTTTTTTTTTTTTTTGCCGGTACACGTTCGAAAATTGCGGACCATGAAGATCGCCGCAAATATCGAAAATATTTCCGTTATCCGTTATTGATGTAAAACGAAATCATATTGCATGCATCATATTGACCCGGCTTTTTCTCCCCGAAGATACCCTGGAACGTAATTGGCAAAGGTGTCGTAAAACTGCTGAAAGCTTTTCGGATTACACGCTTCGCGGGTTCAATCTGGATAGAGTACTTATCAATGCATAGCGGTCTTAAAATGCGTAAATACTGATAAACGAGATACGATCTAGATTACTGCTCTAAAAAAAAGGAAGAAAAAAATAAAAAGTTTGAATTTAAATATATCGAATAAAATCAACAATAGAATTACGTATGTGGACAATCGATGTTATTAGTCTCGTTTAAATTTTCTTCTCCGACATCTGTCAGCGCGCGTCATATCCTTATTTTCCAAAAGGACTTTTAGCGACTTTCGCATCTCAAGTCTCTAACTCGATTCCTTCGTTAAGTCGTGATTCGCTCAAGAGATGAAACTACTGCATCGTGTTTTTCTCACGAGCTATAACTTTAGGCTTCGTCGACGTACCGTCCCTCGAGTAAAACTTAGTTAAAAAAAAAAAAAAAAAAAAAAGAAGAGAGAAAGGGAGAAAAAATGGGAAGGAAACGAGCTACTGGTTCCGGATCTATCGATCGATGCGGTTTGTTCGTTCGTGGAACGGATGTACCGTCTCCCTTGAGAAACTTTCGCGGTAAAACCTCTCCCGTTCGCATGCGCATTCTCCCCAGCATCCCATCCCTCACATTCACCCTGTCCTCCTTTCTCTCTCTCTCTCTCTTTTTTTTCCCTCCTTCCCTATTCACGCGATCCCTTTCCCTCTTCCATTTCTCGCTACGCGCTTCCACATGCCGCCACCCGATTCCACTTTGCCTCTTATCGACTTCCGCCTTCCTTCCTAACCTAAGGACTCGCCCGACCATTTCTCTCTGCGACCATCGCCGGCCGGTGCAGAAGGTGGGGAAAAGAGATAGCCGGAAAAGCGAGTTCGTTCTCGTGACTAATTGAGCTATCGGTTTACCTGCGAGAGAAAGGAAGAAAGGGAGGAGATAGAGAGAAATATATATATATAGAGAGAGAGAGAGAAAGAGATACGCGACGGCACGAATAAGGGAAAGGAACGATTCAGGAGTAGAAGGAGGAATGTCTTAGGCGAGTCAAGCCATCGCTCCCCTTTCTTCGTCCTTGTGTTTTCGCTCGCTCGACTCACGAGCACTTATCGCGTGACCGGGCAGAGCAAGTGGCGGCCATTTCACTGTCTCCATAAACGTACCGTTTTGTAACCGGTTACCTTGCCTAGTTGTCCTTAGAGAGGCCATAAGGGTCGCGAGCGAATTCCTGTGTCGGTTTATTCTCTCGCCGCTCCATCGTTTAATCTTAATTCCGCCGAAACCGTTTCTCCACCTTCTACTTGTAATTCGGTCTCTCGCGGCAACGAAAAGCGAGAACAACGAGAGGCTACATCTTACTTAAAAACGTCCGCGAGAATTTCCTGCTCGAATATATATTTATGAACTTTTTTTGTCGTACAAATATATAACGAACAATAACCAGAATACTTTTGCTCTCGCACTTTGTCACGAGTGGTAATGACAGATAATGTGAAAATGGTTGATGCGATTACACGTATAGTTCGTACGACGGTATATCGAGAAATGTCAATTTCGATAGCGAAGAAGAAACTTCTTACAACTTAAACGATTTCGATACCTCCGTTGTTCGCCAAGTTTCTGTTATATCTCGTGGCCGCGAAACAATTTGCAGCGGTCGGTTCTGCAATCGAACAATCTCCCTTTTGTTCTAGACTATTTATTAAGTATTTTCAAAGTATCTGGTTATCGATTCTTGCGGTTATTAATCTAAATTATTACTGCAGTTTTACTATTCCTGCAGAATTTAACTATATTTTTTTCTACTTTTTTATATTTTAATTTTAAATCTGTATACCGGATGCAATTTTTTTCGTATTAATTTTTGATGTATTAATTTCATTATGGTAATAATTTAAATTTAAAAAATTTTGCGCTTATAACATTTGGAGATGCTTATAGTAGGTACTCGACAATAATTGCAATTACAACTTAATTTTCATTCTTCAATTATCTATTATCGATTCGAACAGAATAATAATTACAATTCGAACTGTTTGAATGCAAGATCGCGTGAAAGAGCCATGCTAATTCATCTTTCGTGCGGGGACGATGTGCCCTTTGATTAGCTTCTGCCTGTGATCGAACAGCGTAAAGCTTTCTCGCTAATTTGACACTTTCGATGCGCGATCCAATAATGAAGGATATTGGTTGACGGTGTTTCCCGAGCGCTTGAACGATGGCTGAGTGATTGTGATTAATCCTGTCGAATTGCCAGCAGCTCTGTAAGACGATTATCATTGTCGGCAATAAGGAGTGGATTGATCGATCGGTTATTATCTACCGCACCCTTAATTGTTTGTTCATTCTTCCCGCAGTATTCTCGGGCAGAAACAATTACCAATTAGTGTTATATTACGGCTACATGATTCTACAACTCTCGACAAATTAAAAGTATGGAAAATGTGAGATACGTTAGGGGAATTATTACCTATATAAAAGAGGAGAGAATATATCCGAGAACGAGGATAAGATTATTTTTTAATATTAGATTTCTCTATTTCTCTTTTCGTCTAAATTTGCCACGATCGATATATTCGAGCGACGCGCGTATATATAAAATCGATGAGAAAAATGATGACTGCCACAATCTATCGTGCTTCCCAAATGTCGTTATATGTACATTTTTCATCTTCGACCATACTATCAGAATTAGTGTACCGAATATTAATTATATTAACGTATATTGTCATCTATAGTGCGATTTCATATTGAAGAAATTAAGGACCACGCTAATTCGATCGGTACATTGTAAAAGTGCGCGTGTAAATATGAAGAAAAAAGAGAAGACCATATTGCTATTGTATCTATCATTTTGTAAAAAATAAATTGAGCGTTAGTAAGCAAGCATGGTAGTTTTATTAAGCTATTTTACGACATTCGCGGAGAAGCACGTTACACAAAATAATATTCGGTAATAATATGCATACTCGATTAGTCTCTAGAATTTTATAACTAAAAGTTATAAAATTCTAAAAATAATTCGATAGGCGGATTCTCTTAAGATATAAATAGATAGCCAATAAATTTTTCATTATAAATAAAATGTGTAATAAACGTCATTTTAACTTTGATTCTGAGCTAAATAGAACTAAATGTGTACAGTCTTTTTTTAATTCTATAATAAATATATTATATAATTTCTCTCTTACGAAAATTTTCATTGTTTTGCATAACGTGTTTCACATCATGGAATTCTGTCGTGTCGTATCGTATCGTATCGTTATAATAACGTTACAATCAATACGTTTCAGCGTCAAAGGTAATCGTTTCCTTAACATATGTTAACCGCACGCATGATTATATGCTGAAACATAATAACAATGTTTCGCTAATACCAGTATTTTAAGCGGATATGCTGAAAGAGAGTTTTCGAAATTCTAACGATATCCACTTTTGATCCTAAAAATGCACATTTTCTAATACAGTGCATATTAAGATCAAAACCCAGGAGACACTCACAGAATTACTTCCAACTTTTCTACCTAGCTTTTTTCCTTAGTACGAAAAGAATGGAAATTTATTCGTTGAAGTTTTAAGAATAGTTATAGAGAAAGAAAAAGGGGAGAAGAAACATGTTGAAAAAAAATGTTGAGATTTGTTGGACCTTCGTGTGCATCCGCAAAGTTAATTTCAGCCAGCAAGATTTGTTATGTAATTTTTTGTAATGTATATAACATCGCAACATCAAACGCGTTTATGCAATATATTATAATTTATTCGGAAAAGTATATTAATCAAAGCTCATCGATTGCATTTGATTCGCAGAGCAGATCGAGCGGATATAAAATATTTGGGGACTCACGTGATCCGTATATATGAAATGCAAAGGAGCGTAACGAACGTGCGTTTAGTTAGAGCTCGTGTAAATAACAGCGCGTGCATATGCATTCAACGTGAAGGTAAATAAATGCTGTTCGATGCAATGCGACACACAATTAATTGGGATCATCCGTTTTTATTTTCACACATCACTGATTGGAAAAATTAGTGATATATGCTGTACGACATGTCATTTACGATATAGGGCATATTATTATAGAACTGGTTCTTCCTTCATACCGTCAATCGTGACTGTTTTCCTTGTAAACGACAACCATTGTACATACTATTACATGTATTCATCCGATGTAAATTTTTTGTTAGGTATTAATATATTTTATAATAAAAAGGAAATATATATATATATATATATAAAATAATTAATTATCGCGAATCGATATTTTCCCGTCAATTCTTTCCTTCCAGTTAATTTTATCAATTTAAAAATTATTCCCTCATATTTTTCATTACAACGTGATTTAAAATTTATCTTTTTAATTTTGCTTCAATTTACAAAATTAATACCTACATTAATACATAAAAAAATTTTAATACACTTTTCATTTTGCATCTGTTCTATGTACACATGTATATATGTGTTTGCAAGTAATCGTCTAATTATACGATGGCAACCTAATTGCAAACGTAGAATCTACGCCAATTGCATCGTCTTCCCTCAAACAGGGCAGATAAGACGAGAGGATTTATGGGAAAGATCGCTTTCGAGAGCAAATGCTCTTACGGCATAAAGTAGTTTCCTATATAAGCGGACTAGTGTAACGGAGTAGAGAAGGATAATGACATTGAAACAGAGAGGGAGAGAGAGGAACGTGGTAACGCGGCGAATCAATGTCACGATAAAAACAGATGACGGGATAAGTGAGGATAGAGGAAGCTGTATTGTATGCAGGTGAATGAATTGGATCGATCGTGGAGAAAAATTTCTGCTTCATTAACTCGATATTTGATATACTCAATATTTGATATACAGAGAGGCATGCAAGAGCGAGATAAACGTAAAAATAAACGCGATGAGTAATATTAAAATATAAATCAAAATGAAATAAAATACACGAGAAAAGAATTGTGTCATCTCAATAGTATGTGATTTCCAAAAGCACGCTTCTTCGACTGCTTCTGCGCGCAAATAATCGTTTAACGAGAGATTTTACGAGAACGATGATGATAAAAGTGCGAATAATGAAGAGCATTTTTTTCCAAATGCGATTATTACGAGAAGAAATGTTATAATACTTAGCTCCCAATACTATAGAATAAAATTTAAAACTTTACTTATATGAAAAACTGATCCTCGAGGGCAAATAGAAAGAAAGAAGAGTGAACTAAAATAAAAAGGGAGCTCAAAAAATATTTAAAGTCCTTCTCTCGCGCGATTTCCACCTAGATATGTAGATACGAAATGACTGCTAAGTTGGAAGAAAACCGAGGCCGCACTCGCAAAAATTGATACGCGATAATAAGATTTTTCGCGGCTGCAGACCAGGCGTGTTCTATATTAGAAGTCCGAAGGTGTAAGGTAAGGTAAGGTAAGATAATCCGTGACTATGGTAAGATCCCGCCGGGCTCTACGCGAATTCGTGTTCAGAACTCCGCAAGAACGCTAACGCTTATTAGAGTTTGCTCGTTAGAACAATTGCTGAGAACAGACGGTAGAATTAGCCGACATTTGCTGATAGCTGTGCGCGCACGCTTCTTAAGCAAATTGTAATTAACAATGGAAAATTGTCACCTATATTAAATTAATAGATCGTAACGTTTTGCATCAAATATTTATCGCGTTCCATTATGTCTCTTCTTTCTCAATTTCACGTTCAAATCTCTTTTATTAGATAAAGATGAAGACTTTACATCGGCATACAGGGTGTCTAGTAAAATTTGAAAATAAAATTTAAGAACGTTTGCAAGGAAATTTGCACCATTTTCCAATAATATATGTAATAGAGATGTACAAGAAACTCAAAACTTTATTTTCTTTATCAAGTCTATAATTGCATGTTAATAATGAAAATTAATATATGCATTACAAATATTAGATACAATAATCTTCTCTTATATTATATTTTTTGAATGCTTAAAATCTACAAATAACTTATGCGTAACACTTATTTTTTGGACTCTTAAATAAAAAATATATTATATTATTTACAAAGTAAGATGAAATATTTTTTACTTGAATAGTCTCAACTGCTTTTTTAGCTAAACATATAGATTTAGAAGCAACGAAAAAAATCAAGGATCTATAAAAAATTCAAGTACATTTCCAGGATTTTTAAAGAACAAACAAAATTCCAAGGACTTGAAGGATTTCAAGGACCGCTAGACACCCTGGCATATATTATTTAATATATAACATTATATATATATATGTAAAAAGAGACTTTAATATTCGCGAAAAAAATGATGAGTAAAATGAACTAAGAGAAAAAAAGAATGCTTTAGTATATCAGATTCATTGCGAGTCTCTGATTGCATTTTGATGTCTCGGGTCAACCTCTTCAACGTTTCTCTCTCGCGTCCGTCTCGAGCGCTCGATAAACTCCATTTAGGAGACGAGCCTTAAAGGTCGTACCTTCGCAAAGTAATGCAAAGCATCGAGCAGACTTTGCGCCGCCGCGCCGTCGAGGCGAATTCCCGATAATGCAAAACGGAAAGGCGAGTCCGTCGCGAACCGAGATATACCGCATTGCTAAGGAGATTGGAAACTGGAATCTACGTGCGAAGTAACACTTGTCGCTCTGTATTTCCTCTTCTCTCTCCCAAAGATGCCAAAGATATCTTTCCTCTTTACACTTTTCCAACTCGCGCCCGAACCCGAATTCCCCCGCGGTTTGTAACAAAAAAATCGCGGCGCGCGTACCGAATTACTTTTAAGGAAGGTAAAACTCGAGGAACTAAACCGCTCTCGAATTTTATGGCCCCGGCTTTCGCCACGCTCGACTATCTCTGGTTATTCT